CCTTGGGTTCGCAAGTGATTGTTTTTATGCTACGCGGGCTGTTTATTAATTGGAAACAACCATTGGCTTTCTTTGTATCTGGATTTGGCGTAAAGAAAACAGATTTCTCTATTATTTTGAACAAAATTTTAGATTCAGTGTACGAGACTGGCTTGAAGTCTCGACTATGGTTGTCTCCGACCGGGAATCCAGTAACCGGAGTGTTACAAATGACCTATGTAGTTACTATTGAAAAGCCATATTTTGAAAAAAAAAAAAAAAAAAAACGGCCAAAAATATTATTTCCTCTTCGATTATTTACATCTTTTTAAAAGTATTAGAAACAATTTAATGAAAAATGACCTTTTGATCAATGGTTCTCGGGTTTCATGGTCCGATGCTGTAGTTCTTTGGAATTTAGAGGAAGATAAAAGCACGCGAACAGCATACAAGTTTTCCGAAAAACATATTCATCCAAATTTTCTTTTTTCTCAAACATATATAGAGACAAGTACTGTACAAAACACAGCTTTTTTTTTTTTTAAACGCTTAATAATTTATTTGATAATTTAAATAATAAATGTGCAGTGATCCCAATCCGGATCAGTATACCACCGAATATACATGATCATATTATGGAATTATCAACATCAGTATATTCATTAGAGGCGTGTGCGTTAGAATATTTTTCAGGGTAAAAGAGTGTTGAAAAATCGCGGTGTAGTAACTGTTATACTTTTTTTTACCCGGATATGCACATATTTCGCGGAACGAACAATTGTTGATATCTTTCCGGGCCTACGTAGTAAACGATAACGTTGAGTTTGGACACCTTTGCGTCCCCAGTCAACGTTTTTCAACAATTTTTAGGATTATCAATCAAGTACTTAATGCAACATAACAATAATTTCGTAGTAAGTATCACATATTGGATAAAATGGTTCCCGTCGGTTCCTATTACAGTATAGAACAAAATTTTTCTCAGTGGTGATGAATGTGCGTCTCATCGAACGTAAATGACACATTTGGCATTGGAAGTAATAATTTTTAAAGATACAAAATGATTCGGAAAACACCTGAGATTTGCAGGCTTCTCGGGAAGGCATTCTTAAAAATTATCGCAGTTACGTAAACTTACAATTAACTTTAATAAACTTTATAATTTAGCTTTGCTTTGCATCTTTTGCATTAGCTTTTACTCGCTATGTGTTTTACCGTGTATGAATGTCTTATACTAAGGGAAGAGGAAATGGTAGAGGGGTGGAGAAATAATGCGTAGTAAATCGGTTAAGGGCGGTTAAAAAAAAGGAAAAAAAGCGTCAGGAACGAATTAATGTAAGCTGTGATACTTGAACAAAAAGAGGTTAGGTATAATAAAGGTATACATGTGAAGCCGAAATAAACGATAAACGATCTTTTCTGTATTATTGCTTCAGTTCTATATGCTTCATTTCTGTGTATTATTGCGTTAGTTCTATATTCTCAACACGATTCGGAGTGTTTTCAGCGTTACATTATTCTTTCTTTTTCTGATTTAAAAGTTTTTTTTCATGATTTTTCTTAACTTATGGCATGATTATGGTATGAACTTATATTATAGTATGAACTTATGGCACTTCAATCTTTTTTTTCGATGAAGGGTTTGTACATAGTTACATATATAACTACATAAACACTGTACGTACTCGGGGATGGAGCCAACCTTCTTTCATGCCTTCACGTAGCCCATCCCGTTAACACTTTTACTGTTTAAGTATATGCATTAAAATTAATATTCGAAACTTTTGTCAACAGTAATAGTGGAACTAAGGTGAGAGAAAGGCATGTTCATACCATGTGGCATTTATTAAATCAAAAACTATAGCTTCTGTCTCGTTAACTGTGACTTATAACTTCTTTTCTTAACAGTTAATGTGCTTTATACCATGAAAAGATCGATATTAGAATCACCAAAATATTGAAAGGAAAATGTAAATAACGATCTCAGTATCGCTAACTGTGAAGTATTTATATGAAACAATTGAGGTAAATATTAAAGGCTATGTACCTTATGTATTGTACAGACAGAGTAATAAAAGAAATTATTATTATACCGGCAATCTTCAATCGTTTGTTGACTTTTTTCGAATTAAAATGTGCCCGAATACAATAAGGCTAAATCGCGAAACACAAAAGTTTATTTCTCCTGTAATCGCGAACGAGATACATATATCGCGACTCAATGTTGTTCATTGGACACTTTGGACGAGTTATTTTGCATCTCTGTTTATCATTATTTACAACTTAAAATATATATTTATTAAATATCCTATCTGTAGCATCGCTAAATAGTACAGCGAAAAGACTCGCGAGATTATCGTCCATAGATGCAAAGGGGTTAATACGTGTGAGAAACATTTTTTCATTTTGTGTCATAAGTACAATGTCCAATATTAATTTTTTAACAGTTTTCTTCGTTCTAATACTGTCAAACAAATTAACAATTTTTTTGGTTTTGTAGTGTGTATTAAATGATTTTGTCGTTTTAAAAACCAGATCCAAAAACCATTTCCTTTTGTTCTTCTTTTTTCTATAGTATTCGCACTTTAAATGCGCAATTTAGAGAAGTTCTGTTTCTACCAAAACAATATGTAACAGGCGTGTAATTGTCGTTACAAAACCAATATTTTAATGGATAGTGTAATTCTTTTTTTCTATAAATTAATTTGACTGAACCTTTTGAATAAATATTTACCAAAAATAGTTATCCAAATGTGTTTTCCTATTAATAATGATTTGGAATTCGTAACAAATGATACTATCAAATGAAAATTTTTTTATTTGAAATAAGTATTTATATATTTATTCGCATAAAACTTTATTCAAAAACAAATTTAAATTCGCTTTAACGGATAAAATTTTGAAATAATTGTATTTAACTATGTATGCTGCCTGAAAATCCAGAAATGTTAAGTCAATGTCACATCGAGAGACAAAGGTATGTATGATAGCACCTGTGCAGTATTATGTCCGGTTTAAGTATATACACGCTATTATTTCTGTAATTATTGAATATGCGAATAAATGTTTCATATGAACGTTGTTTGATTTCATGAAATAAACTTAGTAGAATATTTGAAATTTTTTTAAATTGTTATTTACAGAGACTTTAATAATAATGTAATTTTTTAAAGGAAGTACACATGTTTAGTATTACCGTGTCCTAGAGCATTTCCATATGAATTCAACGACATGTTTGAAAATTCTGTTTGAGTAATAATTTCTCGGATAACTTATGAATATTGCTGGCAAATATCAAATACGGTTAGCGTCCTTTTTTTCTCTTTCATACAGTTATGGTAATGCAAGAGAGACGCCTAAGATGGACTCTAGGGGCGGACTGGTGCACACCAGGCTCCATGCTAAGGGAGGAAATGCAGAGGGAAAATACGGGGACCAGAGCTGGGAAAAGAGCATGGGGCTTCGAAAGGAAAATGTGGGAGGGAAAGGGAAGTGAGCTGGCGAGGAAATGCTGGGAGGAAATAGTGTTAAGAGAAGGGGAGGAAAGAGAACTGACGGATTAGGAAGAGGAAAGAAGGAGTTTCTTCAAAGAAAAAGGTACAGAGATGAGGGAGATAGGTAGGAAAAAGGAAACGGGAGAAATGGGATATGAGGAATTGGGGAAAAAGAACAAGCAAAGGCAAGAGGTAGAAAGATGGAAGAAGATAAGAAAGTCAAATTATAACAGGTGGTATAAGATGGTGAAGGGTCCAGGGTACCTAAAGAAGGGGTGGGTGGAGAACAGGTGGAAAAGAGTAGCCAGGTTCAAGCTAGGAAACAAAGTAAGGAAGGCAAGATATTGGGAAAGCGACGAGAAAAAAGATTGCTGGAGGGGGGGGGGGGGGGGGCTTGAGACATGGAACACGTATAAGAGAGATGCAGGAGAGGAGAAGGACATATAAGCAGCTGGCTAGAGGGTATAGGGAAAATATTAGGAGAAGAGGGAGATGGTGAGAAATGGATGAAGGAATTGGAGAAGGCGAGAGGAGGAGAGAGTGAAACAGACGGAGTATGGGAGTAAATGACGAAATGATGGAGAGAGTGAGGTATCAAAAACCGGAGGGAAGGGCGCAAAGGGAGGAGCAAGAGAGCGATATTGTAGACTATGGAAGAAGAAAAAAGAGAACAAGATAGAATAAGTTAAGACAGCGCTGGGAAGCGTATCGGGCACCTCATGCGCCTGTTTCCCCTTCCAACATTTCTTTCGCACCGTGTGCCTTCGTAGAAACAAAAAAGCCCAGACTCTTGTTTCTGTCACTCCGTGGTAACGGTAGATGATGGTGGGGACAAGTTTTAGCTCCCGGGAACTAACTTTGCCCACCGCTGTTAAGGGATAACAATATGAGCGAGAGAGGGCGAGGCAGGGAGACAGCGGAACAGAGCAACAGCGTGAGGCAGTGAGGCGACACGTGCAGTAGTATATAAGGATAGTC